AAAAGGGCTACCCTAAAAATGAGGATATTTATTCCACTTCTATGTTTATTGTCAGTCATATCATAAGTTAAGGATATTTCCTATATATTTTTAAATCTTTTAATAAGAAGAATTTTGTCTGCTCTCCTCTAAGCCAGTGTTATACTCACAATCATACCTGCATGTAAAGTGTACTCTCACATGATAATACTGTGATTGAATACTACTGTATTGAATGGGGGAAGGAATGTGTGGTGCTATTTTTCCTTTTGAATTAATTAATTATTGTTGATACTCTCAAAACTAAACTTACAGATGGAAATCTCATTTAGAAATGACAGATACTTTACAATGAGACCTTGAACAATTTGCTTTCAGTGCTTTCTATTTAAAGTCTATTACAGCTACTGACATCAATCTGTGAACCTACAGAGTTCTGATGGCGAACCTTTTTGAGTCCCAGTGCCCAAACAGCAACACAAAACCAAATTATTTCTTTCAAAGTGCCAACACTGCAATTAAATCTGAATACTGAGATTTTAGTTTAAAAAACAACTCATACAGTTGTCTGAACTAATCAACACCTTTTGTCTTCAAAGAAAAACTTAATAACAGAACTTTCAATTATGCAAACACTTTTTAATTGAAAAATAACCATTAACTCTAGTAAATGGAAAAAAAAACATTTAATACATTCTACACATAGCTTGAAGCCAGGTAATTTATACAAACTTTAAAAATAATTATGTGCATATATTTTTTGATAAGGGATACTCAATTTGGCATGCTTTTGCACAATTAATGTGATTTTTGATGTTGTATTCCTGCTGATAATTTGTCAAACCTTGGTTCATATGGTGCTAGTGTGAGAGCAACACATGTAGCACTCATGTCATCAGTCAGTTTCTGGTATTAGATTTGATATAATTCAAAGTTGTAAACAGCTTTGAATTACAGTGTATCAAATCTAAGTATAAGATGACCCAAGCATAAGTACAAAGAGCAATCCCCAGTGCTTTCATTGACTTAAAATTATATGGCAGAGAATTCTACACTTTAAGGATTTCATTTTCAGAACTACCAACTGTGCTGTTCTTTGTCGTCCTTTCGCACTCTATATTCTCCAGTGTTGCACGGAGGTCACAGAATTTATTTTTCCAGACACAGTTTTCTTGAAATTCCAATAGCTCCATTTCCAGATTTCCAAAATCTAACCACTGTAAGCAGGAAAGATCAAATTCTTCAAGTTTAGCTTTATCTAGAGAAGTAAGAAAACACAGAATTGCCTTCATCTTACGGAACTGTAAAAATCTGTTCCTAAAATTCTCTTTTGCAGCTGCTACGATGCTAGAAAATTCCTTGCAGATTTCCTGATGGCTTGTAGAATTGTCCATAAATGTAGAATACTCCAAATGAATTTTTAGATTTGCAAAGTATTTCAGCTGCCCACTTTCAAGGTCTCTCTCAAAAACCTGCAGTTTTCTCTCAAATATTCTGATGTCACAAAACATCCTTTCTGCTGTCTTCCCTTAACCTTGCAGTTTTTTGTTCAGTACACTGAAATGTGTTGTAAAATCTGTAAAAAAAAACATGAGGTCGGTAAGCCAGACCATATCAGTGAGCTGTGGATATTCTTGCTCCTTTTCAGTCATAAACAGCCTAATTTCATCCAAGCAGGCTACAAATCTCTTCAGAACTTGTCCTCTGCTCAGACACTGGACATTATTGTACTTAAGTATTATACTGTGCCTGAACCTCATCAAGAAGTGCTTGAAACTGTTGAAAATTAAGAGCACAGGCCATGACCTAACCTTCCATATGAACCTACCCAGCAGTTAAGATCTAGCCAAGGGGCCCTTTTGAAAGAGTCATCCCTCAAGGAGGTAAGAGGGGTGGCTTGTAGACAAAGGGCCTTTTTGGCAGCTGCCCCCAGACTATTGAATGCCCTCCCAACTGAGATTCGTCTGGCACCGACGCTGATGACATTTCGGCGCCAGGTCAAAACCTTCCTTTTCCAGAAGGCTTTTAATTGAAATAACATCAACTGTGGGTCCTGATGGCAATTTTTAGAGTATATATTTTAATTGTATTTTAATTGTTTTATCTTTTTTTTTTTTTACTGTACTTTAATTGTTGTAAACTGCCCAGAGACCTTTGGGTAGTGTGGGCGGCATATAAGTTAAATAAATAAATAACATGTAATTCACCATTTTGGTGACATCTCTGAGGATATAAAGAGGTTACTTACCTGTAACAATAGTTACAGTTAAGTAACTTAGTTCTTCTAGTGGTCCTCTGTGAATCCACACAATTGGGTTGTTCTGCGCCTGCGCTGAGCATCTCGGAAGTTTCTAGAGCTTAAAGACACATGATTAGTGGGACGTTCCCCCGTGGAGTGGATGCTCCGCCCATCCTAGGTCCTCTCAGTTCCTGATAAGTGTCCGCCAGGTAAGAGAAGTATTTAAGCTAAAACATGACGGACAGAGGGGAGGATGGGTGGGAGGGGCGGATTCACAGAGGTTACAGGTAGGTAACCTCTTTTTCTTCTTTGTGGCCTCTGTGAATGGGTGACTAGCAAGCTCCTTACCGGATGGTGGGACATCACGGTAAAAAGACAGCTCTGCCAAAACTAGTGTCACTCCGTGCTCTGACATCTAGATGGTAATATCTCGTAAAGGTCGATGGAGTAGACCATGTGGCCGCACAGCAGATGTGAGGGAGTTCAATCTCATGCTAGAAGGCAGTAGACATTGACAGCGCTCTGGTGGAATGTGTTGTTAAGTGTTCAGGAGGTGATCTGCCTGATAACCCGTACGCCAATGATATAGCTTGGACAATCCATCTAGAAATAGATTGTGGGGAAGCTGGTGCCCCTTTATGAGGACCATGAATGCATAGAAAAACTCTATCTGATTTTCTGAAAGGTTTGGTCCAGTCAATGTAGAAGGCGAGAGAGTGTCTTACGTCAAGTGAATGGAGAGGTGTTGATGGTGATGGAAAAAGAGTTGGCAGGATGAATGGTTTATTAAGGTGAAAATCAGATACAACTTTGGGTAAGAAGGAAATGTCAAAGTGCAATGTGACCTTATCCAGATGGAACTGGAGGAAGGGTGGATTGGAAGGGAGGGCAGCAAGTTCACTGGCTTGTTTAGCAGGTGTTATTGCTACAAGAAAGGACGTTTTCAGTGATAGTAATTTGAGATTGCATGTAGGCATAGGTTCAAAGGGCTGATGCATAAGTATATTGAGGACAAGTTGTAGGGACCACTGAGGGATAATAAGTTGACGTGGAGGACGAATATTGAGAAATCTTTTTACAGTCGGGTGAGAAAAGAGTTTAGCTGACCTAGAGTTGGGAGGTTGATGAGGTACGACAGCTGAGATACAGACTTTCAAAGTGGAATAGGAGAGTCCAAAGTTGAATAGATGAAGCAGAAAGGTGAGTAAAGTTTTCAAAGAGACTGGTGTTCCAGGTAAGTTGTGTGAATAAGTGAAGGAGAGGAATGCTTTCCATTTATTTTGATATAGCAGCTGGGCTGAGGGCTTTCAAGTTCGATCAAGCACCTCCTTTATGGTGGGAGAATCCTCCAGGCCATCAGATTCAGAGATGGTATGTCTGGGTGGTCCCAGGCCGTCAGATTCAGAGATGGTATGTCCGGGTGGTAGATCTTCCTATCATCCTGTATGAGAAGATTGGGAATCAGAGGGAGCCTGAATGAGTCTGCTGACATCAATGTGAGGTGAATGAACCACGGTTGCCTCGGCCACCACAGGGCAAGGAGGATTGCATTGGACTGGAACTGTTGGAGTCAAATGATAGTCCTCTGTATGAGTGGTATGGGAGGAAATAGAATAAGTCCTTGTCCCAATCTATCATGGATGCATCTCCGATTGAGTTCTTGTCAACACCGGCTCGGGAGCAGTAATGTTGGCATTTGCTCGTGAAGCAAAAATGTTGATGGTAGGAGTGCCCCAACAGTTGCACAAGAAATCGAAGATGGTGTTGTTTAGAGACCATTCGTGTGTCCTCAATGTCAAGTGACTGAGGTAGTCTGCGAGGGAGTTTTCTTCTGTGGCTATGTGGACTGATATCGGGAAGATGTGGTGTAGGTCAGTGTTCCTCAACCTTTTCTGTAGTGCGGACCGGGGGGGAGCCTTTGAGGGAGGTGGGGCGGCCCCTTGCGCTCAGTTCAGGTAATAAAGGGCAGCAGTGTTGTCTGTGACAAGTTGAACTGCACGTCCTGCGATGAGTGGCAGGAAGGTGTGAAAGGCTCTGATAATTGCTAAAAGTTCGAGATGATTGATGTGCAAAATTTTTTCCTGATTTGTCCATAGACCATGAATCTTGTGATGCAGGCAGTGTGCTCCCCAACCCGACAGGCTGCCATTGGTGGTAACTTGTATCGGTTTGGCTGGAAGAGTAGACTAGGCTGGTACCGAATGTTGAGACAGGTGTCAGTGTCGAGGGGGAGATGGAGAGAGTGACGGTGAATATTGAGATGGATATGGTAGGGTATATCAGACTCGTTTGGGTTCCTCATAATATAGTTGTTCTTGAGGATCTTCAAATTATGTAAGGATCATATTGATAGTATCTCTTTCTCTCTTCGTATCGTGATGATTGTGGGTAGCACTACTACTACTGCCAATGTGGAGGGTTGTACCGAGGAGGTGAGTAGTGTTTTCCTTTCTTTCGGTGTTTCCTTGGAGAATAGTGTGGTGACTCAAAGCCAGAAAGCTCGATTGGAATTGTCCACCCTGCTAATGCAGGACTCAAATGGGCCAAGGCCTGGCTGGATTGCACATCAGCCAGAGAAAGGCCAACACTAGGCGACAGGCTAACAGTTGAGACTGGAGCTTGAGCTGGAGGTAAAGGAGGGTCGTCTCTATTGGATGTGGACCCTGTAGAGTCTCTAGATGATTCTTCCATAATGGGAGATGATGGAAGACTCGGTTGTGGTGGGTCAAGATGAGTTGATTTGGAGGTCTTTTTTATGTTGTTTTGTCTTTCTCCTTTTTAGAGGAGTCCAGAGCTCAGATCGAGGTCTTCGATGTCGACACTAACTTCAATTTCGATGCAGACTTGGACGTCTCCTTGGAATGCAGAGAAGGAGTCATGGAGCTGGGAGCAGGCACGGGTGGATTTTGCTGCTCTATTTCAGGGTCCGGTGACCGTGTAGACTCCATAGAAGCCACGGGTGAGTTGAGAGATTTCTCCCAAAGATAAGACCTCAATTTTTGGAGGCGAAGTTTAAGGGCTGGTTTTGTTAGCCTCTTGCACGCTGCACAGGAATGGGTAGGATGTTGTTCGTCGAGGCAAAAGAGACAGCGGTCGTGCCCGTCAGTTAGAGGGATTTTGTTAGAACAAATTACACACCGCTTGAAAGGGCCAGCAGTGGCCATAAAGTGGGAAAAATAGGAGGGGAAAAACAGTTGGGGGGGAATAAAACGCGGATAGATAAAAAATTGGAAAGAACTCACAGGGGAACGTCAAATAAGGTACGATTGTAAAAAATAATGATTGAAAAGTACAATTGATTAGAATGCTCTGATTGATAGAATGCTCTATTTCTCTGAAACAGGTCTGAACGACATGGCGGAATAAAGGAACTGAGGGGACCTAGGATGAGTGGAGCATGCGCTCCACGGGGGAAACGTCCCACTAATCATGTGTCTTTAAGCTCTAGAAACTTCCAAGACATTCAGCGCAGGCACAGAATAACCCAATTGTGTGGATTCACAGAGACCATGAAGAAGAACATCTAATTTTTGCTGCTTTCCCTGGCACAAAGAGCTTCTTGATGTATAATACAATGAAACTGAATGACCGGATGTTTTGCTTCTTTAACAAAGAACTGTATGAAACCAGATGTTACCCCAACCATGCAAGGTGCCCCATTACCAGTAACTGAAACCACTTTTTCTGCTCTTATGTCTTGTGACAAAAATGCCTCCATCACAGCATTGTAGAGATCTCTCCCTTGTGTTCTTCCAGGCAAAGAAAACAGATTCACCAGCTCTTCTCTCCTGATGTCATTAACACATTTTGTTTGTCTGGTTCTTTATCGATTCTTCCAATTGACAGCTCTTTTAGAAAAAAGTCAAGTGCGAAATGCTACACTGAATTAAAGGCACCCTATTTATAAAGCTTATTAAGTACATTGAAATCCTGGAGATGTTTCCTCCAGAGTAAACCACCCTCAGAAAAACAGCTATATACAGGAAGGAGTGCAGACTTTTAATACACATTTTATACACTACATAAAGTGTATGCACACATTTCACTTATTTGAAATGTAGTGTTAGAAAAGAGTTTTACAGATACAGTATCATGACTTGTCAGAGATAAGTAAAGCAAATTAAGTGTGGAATCTCACTAGAAGCTAAAATAACGAAACAAAGGGTATTGTACTACAATGGCATCATGAGAAGACAAGCTCACTGTAAAAGGCAGCAATGCAGGAACAAGTGCAATGCAGTAGGAAGAGAGGAAGATTGCACATGAGATGAATTAACTCAAAAAAGAAAGCCACAGTCTTTTGTTTTTAAGACCCTTTGTTTGGTGTTGCAGTCAAAGCAGGACCAGTAGCAAAGAGGCAGAGATTCAGATTTGGGGAATAAACTATGATACTCTTGCCTGCTTTGGGGATTTGAAATAGAGAAATGCAATTGCTACACACTTCAGACATCTAGTCCCACATGTGTCGGTTGTCTTTTACTAGGTGCTTGCTGTTAGTGAGATTCTTCTAACTATTCCAGTTCTGCCCAGTACAAATTCAGTGTCTAAACAGAATCTTGAAGTACTTGCTGTTCTCAGCAGAAACTGCAGAGCTAAATGCAATGGAGATTACATTTGGAAGGTTTCTTTTTTCATGGTTCTATGAAGGAGTCAAGTCTCTCTCACTCACTCACTCACACACACACCCTCTCTCTCCCTAAATGTTCAACAATCAGTTGCTTCAGTTCAGTATGTCCGTTTCCTCTCATTGCATTTAAACAAGTTGATGAAACCACCCAGCCCCTCTCTTGCACCTTCCTTCCTGCCTTAATTGGAGCTTTCCCTCCTGCTTGCAGTCACTTCCAGAGGAAGAGGTAATTCACAAGCCGGATTGGGCTGTTCTACAGCAGTGAATAATAAAGCAGCCTTATCTCCGATCTGTAAAAGAACTGATTTACAAGTGCCCCAACCAAGGAAGGTAGCAATGATAGGTGGCTTACAACTGTGCAGTTCAAGGTTTGGCTGCAGGGGGTGGGGATGGGGGAGTAGCTCTCTGCTCACGTGCCCAGGGAGAGGTCTCTGCATGCCAGCTGTGGCACGCGTGCCATAGGTTTGCCATCACTGCTATAGAGTATTAAGCCTTGTGAAAATGTTGCACTTATAAATAGCTACTGTACACAAATACATAGCTTCTTTCTCTACATAAACTGTTTGCAACAATAATGCAACGTAAGAAAAATACAATCTTCTGAAAAGCAGTAGATTCCTCCAGTGAGACATATTACTAACAGAAAAAAGACAAAATCTGTGAAAAAAGTCTGACTTGGCAAGAAGCATAACACCATAAGGATAGTCCCACACATACACACTACTCTAATGAGTTAAGAGTTCTGCATTTCACAGCACATCCATGTAAATTGTACAGTATAACATACAATGTCCAAGTCAGTTCCCTAATACAGTGGTGCCTCGCTTAACGACGTTAATACGTCCCAGGAAAAACGTTGCTAAGCAATTTAATTGCTAAGTGATTTTAAAAAGCCCAGGGAAACGCATTAAAACGTGTTTAATGCATTCCTATAGGCTTAAAAACTGACCTTATGCGAAGATCCTCCATAGGGGTGGCCATTTTCGGTGCGCTAAAGCGAGGCAAAACAGCGGACGGCCATTTTGTTTTTCCGGCGGCCATTTTGGAACCACCGATCAGTTGTGCAAAAAGGGACGCTTTGCCATGATCGCTTCCCCGCGATCATCACAAAGCGATTTTTCCCCATAGGGGCCATCGCTAAGCGATCGCTCTGGTGATGGCCAAAACCCCATCGCTAAGCGATTTCATTGCTCAACGGAGCAATCACTAAGCGAGGCACCACTGTAACTACTATGTTGACTATATTTGTTCAGTAGAAGGCGAAAAACTCACAAGTTTGGAGTTGTAATACCACTTCATAATTATGATGTTATAGAGACATTTTACTCAAAAGAATGACACATTTCCTTCCTTTCATCACATTCTGAAGGCAGGGTGACTTTTTTTCTAGTTCATTGGTCTGAATTTCCAAATTGCAGGTTGTGACCAGCACATTAGCATCCTATATACAGATTTGCTATTAACTTATCATCATTGTCATATCTCTTCTCATTAGCACTAGTTTACTATCAACACCTGCCAGCAGTCCTTTAAAAGGTGCATAATGACATATTGAACTGAGGTTCAAAAGTCTCATGAACATTTCGAAGACACTTCCTCATTGTGTGTGTGTGTGTCTACAGTTTCCTGTTTTAGCTGCAATTATCATATGCTATACTGAATATCACTCAGGAGGTTTTAAAAAACTTTGATGTGTGTTTAAATAAAGACTTTTGCATTCTGTCCATTGTAAAATATCATGAATTCACACCTACACGCGGTTTAAAAGCCCTGAACGTATTCCAGTTCCCTGCACCAAGAGCCCCCTAAAGCAGGTACAATTTGTAATGCAACAAATGCATTTTTAAAAAAATCACCATCCATAATATATTTTCAGTAACCTCAGGATGCCAAAAATATGTTGCAGGTTTTTTGTTTTTGTTTTTTCTTAAGCCAGAAACAGCATGTAAACGGAAAGCCTCTGGTAAATATTAGAATCTGAGTAAATAATGTAACCCATGGACATGACTTGAAAACATTTGGAAATCCGCCCCTCCCCCCCCCAGTAAATCCATGGGCTCAGAAAATAAATATTCAAGAGCATTAATTTGTTTCTCGATGTGTTCGTGCAAGTAAAACAGCAGTCGTAATGTGGAAATTTCAGTCACATTTTGCAACTAATTGGAAGCAGATTAGAATTCTGCCTCAGGGGAACATTGTCAAACTAGAAGCTGGAGCAAATGAAGAAAGAGGTGAAAGCATCGTGAAGAGCTGACAGATTTACAGTGCTCAAGGCAATAAACGGGTACTAGATGAAAATGAATGGGCTTCACTGTACTATATGTACACGGTTCTCTCAGTCATATCTCAGCAATAACAGCATACAGCTACGAAACTATTATTTTCACTGGAGGCAGAGAAGCAAAGTATAAGAATGTAAAGCAGCAATTTATACAGCATGTATTAAAAGCCCACATAACTTGATCTGTAAAGAGTAATAATCAGTCAAATTATTAATTTAGGGCCCTCTCAGCATCCCTTATTTATAGTGAGTGATATTCATTCATACAGGTAAATCCCAGAACTATTTCCACAGCTACTATTTAAGGTTATAAAGAGATACAAAAATCAAAGAAATCTTCAATCCATATTGAATATTAAACTATATTTTTCTCAAGGTTACAGTGCCAGAGGGCCAACAAGCCAACTGCTAGAAAAAAAGAGTTTGAAAAAAGCCATCTGCTATGACTAGATGATGCACGGCCCTAACAGTCATTTCCAGACAGTCACCTCCTGCTTCAGGCACAGGGCTTTTTACAAAGCAAATACTTAGCTCCAGCTGCTTCTAACAGTCCACAAGGAATAAGACAAGCAAGATAAGCGAATTCTGTTTTGCATTGTGGGGGAGGAGACAGAAGGTTTTTATGACTTAAACAAAAGAACTAGAAAAAAAAATTCCTTAAGGATAAATTGCTGGACACCAAGGTCAAGATAATTCATATCACAGGATTCCTGATAACTATATATAACTGTAGATGTTGGACAATGGTGAAAACTGACAGGGGAAAAATATCATTCATTTGAAATGTGTTCTTATGAAGAAGAGTCCAATGGACACCCCTAGGCTGATAAAAAGAAAAATGAATAGGTTCTAGATTAAATCAAGCCTGATCTCTCACCAGAGGCTCACATGACTAAACTGCACTTTGAACATATCATTATTAAACAAGACTTACTTGAAAGGTCAATAATGTGAAAAGTTGAAAGCATTAGGAAAACACATTTACTCAACAGAGGAAGCCATGGCCCTTGGAATGCAGGACCTGAGCAGGTCTGATAATTAAAGGCATCCAGAGAACAACAACAACAACAATCCAGCAACAGCAGATAATGAAGAAGAGGAAACAGACTACAAAGAAATGTTATGTTCCAATCAGATACCTAGCTTGGTCAAAGACACTGCTATATTTAAGCATTCTTGGACAATAATACCTGATAAGGTTTCATGATCACAGCAGATTGGTGTGGACAGCAAATTTCAATACAAATGACACAGTTTAAGTTAATAATCATCCATATCTTCAGGCAGGCATTTAACAATTATAACTGAATCCCTGAACCCCATTTTAGCAGATAATTGTAATATTTTTTATTTTTTTCTTGTTTTAATCTTTTAATTGCATTTCAAATCATATATTGTTTAATTTATCTTTTAATATTTAACTTACTGTGTTTTTAAATTGTGAATTTTAATGTGAGCCATTTTGGGTCCCTTCTTGGGAGAAATGTGGCATATAAATAAAACTAATAAAACTA